AGGGAGGGGTGTTAAGGGGGGGGGTTAGGGCCCCGGGGGGAAAGTTTTAAGGGGCTGCTCCAGCAGCAAAAACGAAGGTTAACCAAGCCTTTGAAAACTTTTTTGAAATGGTTTACTTTCTCTCCTTAGTATCAAAAATCAAAAACTCGGTTACGCGTGCTTTGCGCTTGCGCAGCCCCCTCTACCACTTCCATCCTCTATCTCTACCTCTCTCTTACCACCCCTTCGACCCCGTATCAACTCTATCATCATTATCAGATTAATCAGAGCCGTACAGGCCGCAGAGCCGGCTGTTCAATCCCATCCATGAATTCAAAAGAGTGCATATGACATCACATGAGATCATGTTACAGAGCATTTAGCAGCACATGCTATAAACACAGAGATCAAAAATGAACAGAGAGAATAGTATAAGAAATGTAAATACTGTAGAAAATGTATAAAAATAGCAGAATGGAAAAAAAAAAAAAAATATTTGAAGATTGATCTGAGCTGTATAAGTCAGAGCATTCAAATATTTTTAATAAGATGTATATGATGTTATATTACAGTGTGTTTTTCGCATGGAAAAGTTGGTTTTTCTAAAATAAATAGAGAGAAGAGATAAACTAGTTATGATAATATATAACTTATCTCATGCATGATCAGAATCTCTCACTGTCTTATCTTTCTCTTTCTCTTTTTCTCTTTCTTCTAGTGAAAAGACTGCTGCAAGTGTCACATCAGATTTTCATCAGTATCACAGTGTGTGTGACAGAGTACAGTATATTGAATAAATATAAAAACACTCACAGACTTTTTATATATATATATGTATATATATATATATATTCATCAATCAACACAGAAATATTATTGTCTGTGCTCTTTTTATTTTGTGAGAATATAAATATGAGTAAACAGATGTTTTGATATATTGATATCCAGGAATTCTTTTTTTTCCTTCTCACAGAGTTCATGTTTTCACAGATATGCATGATACACATGATATGTGTGTATATATGTGTGTATATCTATTTACTTTCACAGATGCTGGTTTTTATTCTCAGGGGTTTTTCTTTCCCTCAACTATTTACTTTCATTTGTTTATCAGACGGTTTTTTTTTTACCTTGATATGGATGCTCCTTCTCTATACCCAGTGTTTTTCCTTGGGTGCTATCTGGCACGTCCTGAGTATGGCAAGTTATGAAGTCTACATCATTTAACTATCTCCTTTTCTTTTTTGTTTTACTCTTTTTTTTTTTTTTTTTTTCTCTCCAAGAAGCGGGAAGATCTTCGAAGAAAACAAATAAACACCTACCCCTCATTTTATAACCAATGGAGCCGCATTGGCCTTCTCTATCAGCAGCCAAAACCCACAGAGACAGTTGGACCGAAAGATTCCTCGTCGAACGGACAGAGGACCTATGTCGATTCGTCGAATCCGTCCGCGGCTTTGGAAGATGTACCGCCATCTCCCGCTGCCGAAGCGGTCACAATGTAATTCTGCGGCTACGGTGGCAGGCCTCCGACGCGAGTGACTGGGCGATCCGCATCCCTATCCCCGAGAACTCAGTGTTCATGAGGGAAAAGCTACGGAACGAAGTCGCCATGCTAAACTATCTTGACACTCATACCACCGTGCCTATCCCTAGGGTGTACAAGGTAGGAACGGCAGCAGACAATCCGACGGGCCTTGGGCCGTTTATCATTACAAATTGGATCAAGGGGAGGAGTCTCGTGAAGGTCCTTCGGGAGCGGAATTTGCTTGCGCCCGATGGCTTTGTCCTTGTGCCGGAGGGCGAGCGGATCATGAAACGCGTCTATGGCCAGATTGCCGGGTTCCTGCTGCAGCTCTGGACGAAGGAGTTTGAGAAGATTGGCGCGGTCGGTGTATATGAGGGCGTGGGCGCGCGCGCGGGCGCGTTGGGTGGTTATGAAGTTCGGTACCCGCCCCTAACTCTTTATATGAATGAGCTGGTGAGGAGGTACGGGTTGAAGAAAACTGCGCTCCCCCAGCAGACATACTCGCGCTCCCATGAGTATTTCAAGGCCCTCCTTGGAATGCAGTGGTCCCATGTCGTGCTCCAGAAGAACAGTGTCAGAAACTCAACAGACGCAAGGGAAAAATTTACTGTCCGGGGCGCGATGGCCCTCGTGGCGAGCTCCTTTATCAGCAGGGACGTAGACAACGAGGCACCCTTCAGACTATTTTCTGACGACTTCAGTCTTTCCAACGTGCTTGTGGACGAAAATTTTGAAATCACCGGGATTACAGACTGGGGTTTTACCTACGCGGCGCCCTCGCAATTTGCATACAGTTGCCCATGGTGGCTGACGGCTTTACCGCCAGATACAATTATACAGAGGTTCGGCATGAGCCGATTCAGAGAGGTGTACACTCGCCAGTTTGCTATTTTCGTAGACCAACTGAAACTACGCGAGATCGAAAGCGGCATGCAAGGGCCTGGCTCGCTGTCGTCGAAGATGGTGAACTCCTTTCTGAACCGTGGAGCCTGGTTCGTGCTCGCGTGTCGCATGGGTGCCATACTGGACGACGTATACTGGAGCATTCTTGACAATTTTTGCTGGGGTAGGGTGGTCTCTAGGGACGAGCGCGTAATGTGGTTGGCAGCGGTCGCTGCAGACCGTGACTACTATATACGAGACCGGGAAGTATTTGTTGAGAGGAAAATCCGCGATCTGATAGAGTACTGTCGGTTAATGGGGATACCATGTACTGAGCGGTATGCGCCTCCTCCATCCGTTGTCAGGCTGCCTAGAGTCATGATGGATAAAATGACACAGGTATGTGGATATCATTTTTAAGGGGTTACTCTTTTTCTTTTTCTTTTTCTTTTTCTTTTTTTTTTTTTTTTTTTTTTTTTCGCTCTCCCCTGCTTTTACCCCTTTTGTGCAGGTTAGATAGATGCCCGTCATTATTGCGATAAAGCTCCATGCTGATAGCTAGCCTCTGTTCAGACGCCGTCGATGGTTGCTAGCGAGGGTGGTGATAATATCAATACCAATGACGATTACGATGGTGACGATGATATCGAGGAAGAAGATAGCGACGACGACGACGACGACGACGATGATGTATAGACAGACATACCGGCTTTCCACCTACGTTTTGTCTTTGTTCCCTATACTTTGTAACAAAAACATTTATCTTCTGTCGCTCCCCCTCTTTTTCTCGTCTTTTGCATTCTTTTCTTTTTTTTTTCCCTTTTCTTAGGTTGCTCCTTTTCTGCCCTATTTTGTCTCCTAGTTTGTATGAAAGTTTGAATAGATGATGGGCTTGATAGAGTATATTTCTGCCCTGTGGATCGGTTTTTTGTTTATTCATAGGTATGTACGTATCTACGGTACGTACTGTACATATATGTGCGGAGTACTACATAGGTAGTTTGCTGCTTCGTTTCTATCAATAAGATAAATCAAACTAACTGGAGGGTGAGGTGGATTGGTAAAAGATTATGCTATGCATATCCGCCCGGATTGTATTCTATACTGTGCGTACGGTAAGCTGTGTGTAATACATACAGCCTATGTATGAGAGAGGAATATTAAACGTCAGAACCTACTTGGGCAACTAAAACGTCCGTGTCCGGACTTATAATAATAATAAGTAGAGCATGCTTTTCATAGCTCATTTCTTGTCACTTTCATTTCCCAACTGAGAGGGAAGGGAAGGGAAAAGGTACGAGGGCGATGTGAATAAAACAAAAATAGAAAAGAAAAGAAAAGACAAGAAAACACAAAGAAGGAAGCTCGGAGGGAAGATCGTATTTGTTAAAACATAAATTCGCGGGGTACTAGTTTCTATTTTCACATTGAACACATAAGCGAGAAAAGCAAAACGGCGAGAAAAGATAGAAAGAGATAAAAACCGGACAGAGCTGCAATGTAATAGTTATATAAATGGCAAAACAAGGGTAGGTTTCGTATAGAAGATGTAGGATAACGATGCCACGTTAAGGGGGGTGGGTGAGGGTTACGAACTGATAAATGCATAGCAGAAAGCACAAGCAAAACCAAAACCAGAAGCGCAGACAGACAATGAAGAAAGACAATAATAGCATTAGAGCTCATACATATCCATGAATAACTATCATTACAGTGACGATGTGGCATAGGAAATAAAAAATATAAAATAAAATAAAAGGGGAATTAGGCCAGGGCAGATGACGACATGATTAAAAATAGAATAAAGGAAAAGGAATATTGGTCAATCGATCAATATACCGGGTGGTAGTTGATGCGATAGGTAGTCTTATAGGCACGTAGTCCATACATCGATCGGTGGTGTGTGGTCGTTTGATTCTGATATTGTGCGTGACATGACAATAGTAGAGCATATGCACCTCGTTTAACCACTGCACATCACGCAGGACTCGGGATTCTCAATACTGCCTGAAAGTGGGTTATAGCTTCGTTAGCAACAATCACATTGGGACAAAACCAACAAGCCGAGGCGTGAAGGGAAGCCCATAAACCGACACACCAAAAGCAGAGAACTAAAAAGCCAAATATTACTCACAAGCAATAACTTCCTGCGAATATATATCCCCTTCGGTCTCTTCATCACCGCCAACCTCTCCATTCGTCGAATCACCAGATCCGTTGGCCTTGGCCTTGGTATTTTGCGATGACGTCAACTCACCACTCTGCTGGGAAACAGTGGGCTCCGGGGAAATAGTTTTCGAGCTCAGGTCAGCAGCCATGGTGTTTCCTTTAGACATGGATGACGTCTGGTCATTGGTCTGTATTTGATCGTACATGGGTCGAGGAACAGAGGAGTAGGCACTAGTATAACTGGACGAAACGCCACCACGCTTCTTCATCGCACCATTGACACGCGCAACGTTGGTGTCTGCAACTTTGAGCTGTTCTTGGTCCACGGTGAATTGAATTGGAGCTGAAGCAGCCATTGTACGGAGATAGTACATTCCGGTCTTCAAGCCAAGTTTCCAGCCAGTGAAATGCATGCTGGTAATCTTACCCATAGTGGGCTCCTTCAAATGGATATTGAGCGACTGGGATTGGTCGATGAATGCACCTCGATCAGCAGCCATCTGGACAATAGTTCGCTGGGATATTTCCCAGACAGTCTTATATAGCGCTTTGATATCCTGCGGGATGTTGGGAATGTTCTGAATCGAGCCTCCATCCGCAATGATACGATTTTTCATGTTGTCGGACCAGAGCCCCATGTCCACGAGGTCCTTCAGGAGCCAAGGGTTGACAATCTGGAATTCACCCGCTAGAACACGGCGCGAGTAGATATTAGAGGTGTAGGGTTCAAAGCATTCGTTGAACCCAAGAATCTGACTGGTGCTGGCAGTAGGCATGGGCGCAACAAGCAAGCTGTTGCGCACTCCATGCTTAGCAATATCCTGTTTTAGCGAGTCCCAATCCCAGAGGTCGGTGGGAGTGACATTCCACATATCATACTGGAGGATACCCTGAGAGACTGGGGACCCTTCATAGGTGGAATATGGCCCGTCGATCTTGGCCAGCTCACAGGACGCAGTCAAACTTGCGTGGTAAATTGTTTCGAAAATTTGAATGTTCAGCTGTTTAGCTTCAGGGGATTCGAATGGAAGTCGCAGAGCAAGGAAAGCATCAGCAAGGCCCTGTACACCGCAAGCAATAGGACGGTGCCGGAAGTTGCTTCGCTTCGCTTCCTCGACTGGATAGTAGTTCCCATCGATGATTTTATTAAGGTTTCGAACGACAACTTGAGTTACTTCGTGGAGCTTGCCGAAATCATACTCTCCCCTGACAGGATCCACGAAAGTCGGCAAAGCAATAGACGCCAAGTTGCAAACCGCTACTTCATCTGGCGAGCAATATTCAATGATCTCAGTGCACAGGTTAGAGCTTCTGATTGTGCCTAAATTCTTTTGGTTGCTCTTCTTGTTGCACGCGTCTTTGTAAAGCATAAACGGGTTACCGGTCTCAGTCTGAGCTTCAAGAATAGCATACCAAAGCTTCTGCGCTTTGATGGTTTTCTTGCCTCTGCCTTCCTTTTCGTACCTATACAAAGAGTCAGATTAGTCGTCCTTATATAGTTGTTTTGGTTTCGGGGAGCAGTAAACCTACTTTTCGTAAAGAGCATCAAATTCTTCACCATAGACATCTGCCAAGCCTGGTGCTTCATTGGGGCAGAAGAGAGTCCACTCGCCATTCTTCTCAACACGCTTCATGAACAGATCGGGCGTCCAGAGAGCAAGGAAGAGATCGCGAGCGCGAACCTCTTCCTTGCCATGGTTCTTACGAAGGTCCAAGAACTCAAAGATATCGGTGTGCCACGGCTCGAGATAAATGGCGAAGGCTCCTGGTCGCTTGTTACCTCCCTGATCGACATATCTAGCGGTATTGTTGAAAACGCGGAGCATGGGAACAATTCCATTTGAGGAACCATTCGTCCCTGCAATGTAAGAGCCAGTGCCACGAATACGGTGAATGTTGAGACCAATACCACCAGCAGTCTTCGAAATCAAAGCACAAGTTTTCAACGTGTCGTAAATGCCCTCAATACTGTCTTCCTTCATATCGATGAGGAAGCAAGAAGCCATCTGAGGTTGGGGGGTACCAGCATTGAAGAGTGTGGGAGAAGCGTGAGTGAAAAATTTCTGGGACATGAGATTATAGGTCTCGATGACTTTTTCTACATCATCACCGTGAATTCCGACAGCAACACGCATGATCATGTGTTGTGGTCGTTCAGCAACTTTGCCATTGATTCGAAGTAGATAAGACCGCTCCAGAGTCTTAAATCCGAAGTATTGGTAGTTGAAATCACGATCATAGACAATGGCGGAGTTAAATTCATCTGCATGACGCATCACTGTTTCGTACGTGCCCTGCGATATCATCGGGGCAGGCCGTTGGTTTTTCGGGTTGTGGTAATGGTACAGGTCATCTATCACTGAAGAAAACTGTTTCTTCGTTTGCTTATGGAGGTTGGATACAGCTATCCGGGCAGCTAGGATGGCATAGTCGGGATGGGTGACGGTCATATACGCCGCAGTTTCAGCTGCCTATACATATATGAACAAGACACAGTCAGACAGTATCCTTTGGGATAGAAGCAATTGGGTCTGGGGGAGGGGAGGGGGGAGGGGGGAGGTTCGTACCAAGTTGTCCAGCTCCACAGTGGTCACACCTTGGTAAACACCGGAAATGACCTTCTGGGTGATAGCTGCAGCATCGACATGCTCTGGATCCAGGCCATAGCAGAGTCTGGATACACGAGCTGTGATCTTGTCGAACTGCACACGCTCCTTGCGTCCATCTAAAGTTTACATCAATGTCAGCTTGAGCCTCAGTTCGCATTCTCACAAAAACGCCATCAAGATGACAGGCCGAGGTCTGTAAGGAAAATATAGCTCAATAGGAGAGGAAGACCACGAGGAACTCACCTCTCTTGTAAACAAACATCTTGAAGTTCCCCCTCTGCTAAATTGTTTCCACGTTGTTGGTAAAGCTCTTCTACAAAATGGCAAACGGCGAGGAAGATAGATATGAAACGGATATAGAAAGGGGGGATGAGACGGAAATTGAGGAATGAGGATGGAGAATGTAGAATGGAAGAGGAAGAGGAAGATGAAGTCGAAGTGGCAGCAGAAGGTAGCGGTGGTGGGGAGGAAGAATTTGCTTTGAAAGCAAGACGCGTTCCTCGAGAGCTGGGGAAAAGACGCGCGTGGTTGGCGTGGTTTTTGCCTTAATGGGCGGGCAGCGTCCACTGTGGCGGGAGATCACGTGGCCATACACACAGCGGGATATCCACATGTTACTATACCTAGAGTTAGTTATCGCTCATTATTATATTTTCTGGCTACGGTATTGAATTATAGCTTGAAAATTATTGACATTAATTGTCTATAGATATATGTGGTTTTTACTGTGTTCCGATTTCCCGCTACAAATGTCCATAGTTTTCGGATAAGAGCTCAATCCAAATTTCTCCAGGGAAGTAGAATATACAGAGGAGCGAGGAGCCAGGAGGAATATCTCTAGATTTGAAATATCGGTATTAAAGCGACCACGAAAGATAGTATAATCTGCAATACCCGAAAAAGCAACCTAGCACAATGACGAATAAATGATACAAAGTAAGGAAATCTTGGATTGTAAGGGAGAGGACAATAAATTAAGAAAATAAGTGACTTTGGCCACGTCTATAAAAAAGGAGGAAAACCCCTGGCCATACCCCGTTCTCTTATGACAGTAATGCTTTAAGAGGTTAAAAAAAAGCAAACAACGCAAAAATATATTTATCTGATATGGTACGGTGCGAGATGGCGTAGTGTGCGCTTGTTTAATATGTTACACCTGCTGTGCTCACATAGTCGAGACAAGCCCAACGAAAGCGACGACGGCTGCGACGGTGAAAGAGTTGGCATTGTGTACGTATCCGGCGGACTCATCGGTGGGTGAGGAACCAGGGGAGCTGGTGGTGGGATTGGCACCGCTGCCGTTGCCATTATCATCATCACCATCGTCATCACCACCACCATTCGAGCCACCAGGAGAGCCATTCGGCTTGCTGATATCGATGAGTGCTACACCAAATACAAATTCGTTTATTAGTTCCAATTTGCGTCCCGTAATGTCAAAGTAACCCCTTTGTTGAGGAAGAGGAGAAGAGCGAAAAGTGACAACATACAAACTTTCTGACCAGCTTCAGCGCAAGAGTCTGAGAACGATTTCAGAGCATCCTTCACGGTACCCTCCGGGCACATTTTCACGATTTCGCGCTGGACATCCTTGTTGGCGCAGATATTCTTGAAGTCAAGAGGGTCCTTTTGGGTGCTATTGATTGAGCCATTAACAATTAATTCCTGGGCTAGGTTTACCATGCTCCCATTCTCCAAAACGAGAGCTCTTCTCTCTTGGTCCCCTTTTCCTTGTGGGGGAATTTTTGGGGGGTTTAACGTACTTGATAGCTCCAATAAGACAACCAGGGGCCACGGCGATGACGGCGTTGAATAGAGCCAACAGGGCGGCGAAGAAGACAAATTTAGAGGCAAACATTTTGACGGTTTTTTTTTTCCGGATTGCTAGTTACCGTAACTAAGAAAAAGCACGAGGCTGGTGTTGTTCTTGAAACAGAGGCTGGTTCGTTTTGATTCGAAACGAAGTTCGTCGAAAGCTGCGCAGCAGAACTAAGCTGAAAGATAAAAGCGAGTGTCGAACAGAGGGTTGTCAAATTAACTCAGGTAGTAGTACGGAGTAGATAAGGAATGACTTGGTTAAATGGACGTAAAGGGGAAAAAAATGAATGAATGAAGGTTACAAAGGGTCGGGTTGTTGAGTCTTGCTCGGATGCAAATAATGGCAAACAAATGGCAGGGGCGATTGACTTGACATGGCGGCCCGAAGCGGCGGGTACACGGTCGGTCGGTTCCTGCCAAGCCCTCAGACTAGCTGGAAGTGGTTTAGCGTGTGCTCCTTGGCTGTTTCACCCGAATATCAAAGGTCAAAAAGGGAACACAACATGGCTCTGCTCTGGCTTCAAGGTTCACAAACAATATAGAACACAGATCACGGAGTATTAGTATTATTATTAAAGAGTGTGGAACGGACAAATCCAGTGTTCCTACTGTGGGGTACTGACCCTACTTACCCCTAACGAAGATCCAGTATCATGCGGTGACACTTCCCCCCTTTTAGGCCCACGCAATACTTCTCGTCCATATCGGATATCAGATAATATCACCCGCTTCAGTCTTCAATAACCAAAAACAGAACAATAATAACCATGAAATACTTCCGATTGCAGGAATCAAACACAAGCTGGACAGAAAATGACCAAAATCAAGCCATTAATAAAAACCAGTTGTCCCCCTTCCCCCTCCCCTCCCCCTTCTCCCCATTTCCAATCAAAACCTTAAGTCTTCCACTCCTCATCCTCCCGACTAACAATAACCTCCTGCACATCCATACGGAAATCCACAATTTCCCTCCCATTAACCAAATCATTCTCGACCGCCCTCCGATCCGCCTCCGCCTCATCTTTCGCAATCCCAGCCTTCACGTGCCGCGCAACCAACCTCTTCCGCGCCGTCTCAAAATCTACCTCAACAAACCACAACTCATCCATCAATCGCGCCGCCTCCTCCCACGGCTCCTTCCCCAGACTTAGATAATTGCCCTCGAAAAATATCACCCGCGACGTCGCGGGGATGGGCACGTCGTTTTCCACGGGATCTTTGATGGCATGGTCGAAACTCGGCGCGTAGAACGTGCGCGAGCCTGGGGCCAATGGTTCCCGCAGCGCACGTACCAGTTGCAGGAATTTGTCGGGGTCGAAGGTAAACGCTGCGCCCCGTCTCGCGATCGCGTAGGCCGGTTCTGGCATTGCGGCGAGCTGGGCGCGGGAGAGATGGTAGCCGTCCATTGAAACCGAGGTTGCAATGGGCGCGGCTGCGTCGGGGTAGGTTGTGGAGTACCGCTGGTTTATCCGTTTGGTCATTGCGGTTGCTAGGGAGGTTTTGCCGGAGCCGGGGATTCCACTGATGGCAATCATGAGGCGCGCGGAAGGCGAGGTGGAGAGGAATTTGGCTGTGGGTGTTTTAGACAAGTAAGAGTCATCTTCAAGGAAATATTCTAGATTCTGTGGAATATAGATTGGGACGGGAAAGGGCAATTTTGAAGCTAACCCCAGGCCTTGTCCACGAGTCTGCTGACCTGCTCTTCCATCTTCCAGGACAGACTAGAGACTACTCTTCTTCGAAAGGGGGATATGTGCTGAGGTATATAGGAAGACAGCAGCGTCCATAAATATGAGGCACACGATCCTCCAAGGGCACATTCAGTCAACCCACAAGGCAGAAAATGAATGACAGATGTTTCTCATCTAAATGCGACAGCAACCATTGAACATAAATTACCGCAGGCCACTCCTCCCGGGGGTCCCTGACGTCCGGAGTAGACCCCTCCGTTACAAGAGATGCTGGTCCATGCCTTGGTAGAGCCTCTAGGTCGCGCTGCCCCACGTTGAGATTATGTCACAATATAGCCAGCAAAATGTCGGCGCGGCGGAGTCATGGTCGGCCCGAGAAGCCTGGCCTTGGCGACGTCTATACTCCGTATTTGGTTCGGAGATAGAGTGGAGTGATTCGTCTTGCCACACTCGCTGTTGCAGAGTACGGATGGAGTATTTGGTGCCTGAATGTGTGCAAATGACCCAATGAGAACTTGACATTTTCCTTCCTGGAGCACGCGGTTCTCCTATTGAAATTAATTCCGAGGCGCTTTAGCCGCAGCGTGTTTAATAATGAGTAACAACGATAGGACATAGTTCATTGGCTTGGTATGTAGTTACTGTATTCTGCAGGCGTCTGCGGGCTACCGAGTATAAGAAATTCTCATCTTTAATCCATCTTTCACAGTCGGTTTATTTTCGTCCTTGAATTATCATATATCATATGGTCGGCAAGTGAAGCGCCCAGAGGCATCAAACTTCCCGAAGTGGATGGGTCCTCCTGTCAACCTCGAATACCTCTTTCTGCAGGATGAGGGAATTCCAGGAGCTGTCCACATTTATGATAGCTAATAAGCTTTGACTATCATAATTGTACTTGTACAGTTTTGTCGTAGTGACAGTGACGTCAATGAGGAAGTGTTTTGGATGCGTTCGAGAACATCAACAAGACCTAGGGATATCATCAGCAACTTCTGGCTCTTCATTCAACAAGATACTAGCCAGCGGAATCACAATAGAGATATAAAATGCAAGATAGCGAAGCAACTAAGCAGTCTATATCACAACCAGGGGCAAATTCTGAGCCCCTGGGACATCCACTGGCCCGCTCCCTTCACTCACGAGAGTCAGAAAAAGTGACCAACAAATTGTCAAAGCAAAGTCGCCGCTTTTTGGAGCAGTTGCATCTTCCTCCAGATGTCAGTGAATATGAATACTCAGGACTTCCTCATCTACAAGAAGTTACAGGTCAAGCCTACAATCGTTTTATCACAAATAGGACTCAAAGCCCATTTGTGATCTTTACAAATCTCCCAGTGGATGAATTTGAACAGAACGAAGACAACTTCTTTGGCAGAGTGGACTACAATCCGAACCTGCAGCTCCTAATCCTGACAATGGTTTCCTTCCCATATGAGGTGGCAGCTGGTGTCTTTGGAAGACTTGTTGATGATAGGGCAAAAGAGAATGATGTTCGACGTATCCTCCTTCCCCGAGGCAGTACCCGAACAGACACGCCAGACAGGTGGAAGCAAGCTGATAAGTCATGGATTCCCCGCGATCTTCCTCCAGGAAGAACCACCCAGTGGCCGAGCATCGCCGTAGAGGTCGGATATTCGGAAACACGAGAAAAGCTAAAAAGCGACATGAAATTTTGGCTTAACACCAATAATGAAGTAAGAATGGCCCTTTCAATTGATATAAAGAGACCAAGCGGGACCATCTTTATTACAGCTTGGAAACGTGGGGCTCCGATCCCGCCCAGAATGTCTTCTAATCCGGAACCTCAAGCAACACAAGAAATAAAAATTGAGCGAGGGAAGGCTGGCCAGAAACCACATATAACCGGTAACAGCAACTTGACCATACCTTTTGAGAATATAATGCTCCGCAGACCTGGCCAAGGGGAAGTGGACTTTGTCATCTCACGAGAAGATTTGCTGGAAGTGGCAGAGGGTGTTTGGTTTGCTATGGACAACAAGTAAGCATTTTTGGGGAGGCGAGGGAGTATTGAAAATTGACTAATCATTATCGAAAAGATGAATGGGAATTACGGACAGATGCGATGCAGCCGGCGCATATGAATGATATGATAGCAGCACAACGAGGTTAGCGACTAGGTCGGAAATATGAGTTGGAGGCGGAAAAAAACTAGTTGGGGCATGGCATGGGACTACCAAGGCCATCCAAGGCAGAACAAGGGCCCTCGGAGGTTTTTTGTAACTTATCAACAAGGCGACATGGAGTGCGTAGTCTGGTTAGGCATGCTCTGACTACAGCGTACAAATAGGAGAGAGAGCTTCCTTTCTCATTATTATTACACATACTCTATACGCAATAATATTACTGTCTCTCATTCTATTACTGTCAAGATAAGAAAGAGCTTCAAAATCAAGATATAACTGTACAGGACCCGTTCCAAGCATCTCACGACCTCCTATTATTAGTATACTCTACGCTGGTTATCCCGGTATTTTCGTTAGGGTCCCCCTAATATTTTAGTGGCATACTAAATATCATTATGGGGGTATCGGTGAACATTCTCGCGTTTGAAGCAACAGTGAAAAGGTGATTTAGGCCACACACCTCATTTACTCTGTACACCTTGACTAACTATCCCCGGGCAACAAGGTCATTAATCCTACAACAAGCGGGTGTACTACTGATCCAAGAAAGTAATGTTTCTGACTGCTCAACTTGACCACTGAAAGATTGATTAACTATAGAAAAGTGAGGTCCCTCTTGAGCCAACTTTGCTTGAGCTTTGTCAAATTGTTAAAGGCCGGCGCTGAACATCTAGACCGCCCGCTGTGTTATATACAAATGTTCTGTACTCCGTACAGGCGAACATAGTATATTATATTATATGCTCGCAAACTTCAGCAGGAGGTGCTGGGGCCCCAAAACCAAATGCCAGTTGTGCAAGTTTATCATCTATATCCACCACCCATATATATACGTATCCAGAGAACGCGGTAAAGAAAGCAGCTAGCTGCGAATAGCAAAGCTCCCGATTCACACAATGCCAAAGGATTGAGGCGCAATTTATTTACAGCGTTGATGACGACAGGAAACTGCGCCGCGGGGATTCAGACGGCGATATGATTTGAATCGTAAGCTATTCCTCCTACCGCTGCGTAATGGCATACCATACCAGCACACATAGGAGGAAGGGAGAGCAATCGCAGGAGCTCTGGGAAACTCAACCTAACCGAGCGCCAATGTATAGTGACAGGAGTATTTATCGTCAACGAGATGTCGGATCCTCCACTAATAGCTGATCGACGAGTCAACAAATAAAATATCGGTTGACGACACAGTTTGTTTCATAGAACTCAGGCTGTGAAAGAAGATAAAATTCATCCAGTTTAAACTTCTTTAGTAGGCGGCATTCACTCCCAATACAAACATCTCAAAATGCACAATTCGCCAAACCAAGAAAATCAAAACCCAAGAGGGGGGGGGAATCATATGAATCATACATATACTGACTGAGTTGAAGAAAAAAGAGAAAACGAGGGCAAAAAAGAGAGAAAGTCAGGCTCCTTAAAAGCCGCCAGACCTCATGATATCTCGAAGTCATTTTGGATTTTTTTTAGTTGTTTTTCCCAATCTCAACAATAATATCTTCTCCTATACTTATATCGCGGCAGCCATCGCAAGCGCCGCAGCTGCACCACCAATCACCCAATTGATGTTCCCAGTCTCTCTCGGCCCGGCATTTGGTGCCCCATCAGCCAGCTTCTCAATACCAGCGGTGGCCGTGACAGGTATGAATGCAGTCTCGATTTCACTTCCGGACAATGTAGTCTTGAGAGTGGCTTCTATGCCAGCCGACTCCACTATAAATGTGCATGCTGCAGATGTAGTGCCGCCGAGGGAACAGGCGGCATCAATACCACTAAGGGAAAGTAAGCAAGTATGAAATGGGCAGAACTTTTGGTCCATTTTTTCGTTCTTATAATTAACCCTCTTTCATCACACGGCTTTTGCTTGGTGAGGAAATCTGGAAGACGGCGGGCGGGCAATAGAAATTGAAGGAGGGATGAGAAAAAAATAAAACATGAAAAAAGCTCACATTCCAGATAACGATGCAGACTGCGCGTAAGTCTCGGGGCCTTGTATGATTGTGGCAACGTCAAACTCCTCGATTTCTTCACAGCGGCCGCTGATGAGGTTTGGCAAACAACCAATATCTACGGCGAATGTAATAGCATCTTTGCCCTATAGACGGAGAAGCGCTATTAGTTAGCTACGTTTTCCAATGCTACGTCTTCTTTTCTTCTTTATTTTCTTTCTCTATATAGAGAAAATGACCGGGGAGGGCCTTGCAAATGAACAAACGCGTTGAGAAGATATCTTACAACGTCAACGATAGATACTTCGGAGGGCACAGGAGAGGCGGCGGGAACGAGGAGGTTGAAGACAGTGACCGGGCCGGCCGCCGTAGTCGTTGGAGGCAAGGGAACTGTAGATGACTGCGCCATGCCCAGTGCTGCTAGGGAAAGCGTGAAGAATATAGACTTCATCATCGTGACTATATGGGAATGCAGATGTTGTCCTCAGTGTTCCCTTTTTTTTTTTTTTTTTTTTTTTTTTGTTGGGCACGTCAGCTTACGCCCAAGAGTTGGAAAAAGGAGCAAATTAGCACTATGATAATGGCTTTGTATCTCGGGTCGGCAAAGCAGAAAACATCAAGCCAACAGGGGCGATGCAACCATTTTATATATGTATCCTCTGCCCTCGCCAGTTTTGAAATTTCTTGTCCCTAGCTATTTGACGACTAACACAGCATGGAGTTAGCGTTGTGCCAAAGTTTTTGCCATGCCTAGTCTGTTCTCTGTGGATTCATATGTATCTCCGTCGCGCACACCATGGCTTCCATCGCCAAATCGGGCTTAAGGTGACGGCGTGCTGTTGACAAATAAAAACATCTGAAGCTAACGAATGCGCAGTTCACCTAACTGGCTGGGTTCTGATTCTTCTGAGCCAAGTCCCTGGACCGGGACCACCGACCAGGGACCACTAGAAGAGCCGATTCCTTTGTTAGCTGTTCTCAGCTCTTCTGGTGGAGAGACGGAGAGTCGGGCAAGGGGCCCCTGAGTCTGGTGGAAATGGGGACTCTTCTTTTTCTCCGACCACTCCCTGGTTTGTTATTATTGTGCCTCGTGAGTTTATCCAAGTTGATACATTCTCCCGGGAACATCCCGGCTCGAAATTCATGCGGCTTGCCACCCAACTTGAACCCCCCTCCAACTTCTCTGCTTCAGCCTAACCTGCGCAATTCGCTCTCCCGCATGACAATGCAATCCCAATTATTGATTTCCAACCGAGGGCATCACGATGCCTTCGCGTGGAGCAGCCTCCGTTGGTTGGTGGCTTTTCTCAAATCGACATCAGAGGCTTGAACGGCAAGAGGGTTGGGTGGGACAGCATCTGAACGCGAAAAATCATCTGTTTTAGTTGGATACATGTATTGTACAGTACATGAAACTTTGGCGCTCGTACGGAGTACCACGTACGTTCCAACTTACATAGTAGTACACACACACACACACACACATACACACACACGACCAGCTTTTTGGGGCCTTCAACAAACCTGAAGGCTCATTATATACGGATTAGCTACCATTTATAGGACCCCAATTGTCGTGACGGAAGTATTTGCTGTTTGAGGCGTTGCACCTCTACAGAACACGAAAGTCCCAACCTTCATACGACCCCCCCTCAAGTGTTTCCATTGACACTGTCCCTGACCTTCAGCCGGTAAGCGCTACTGCCAAAAGCTCCTCTCATCAATTGTGTGTGAGTCATTCATCTGAGGAAACAAAACAAAATAAGGCCACCTGCGCACCATGTTGGAAGGCCAAGCAACTGTAAACCAAGACAGGCTAATTTTCATACCAGGGCTGAGGCATATATCCGTGGATTTAACATCTAGTAGAGCTAGACGAGGGGTTCTTCACTCCCAAGGACCTGCAAAGTAACTGAAGTGATGGGAAGAGGAAGATGACGATGAAGAATTACACTCCTCAGTGCGGCGTGGAAATCTATGCTACCCTTTTCCCGCTTAACCGCGGGCGTATTGCCGCCTGTTCAGATTGTATGACGAATTTTTGAAGCTCTGATGAGTTATCTTTCAACCCTAAGCCACTTGTTGCACGCATGATGCTGGCCCGGGAAATTGGTAGATTCGAATGCTTATGAGGAATGTCCCAAGTGACGATCACGCGAGTTTTATTATATATTTAAAGTGCAATCTAGAAGGACTAAACAATCAATGGAAGCAGAAACGATGCTCAATCGGTCTTCTACTACCCGTCTTCTTGAACTTCGGAATACGAACAGCCACCAGCAAAGCAAGCATGCAGCGAAAATACTGAGCAATAATGAATACCCATATGAATTCGAAATCCGAATAACTCGAGAAAGCACCACTAGGGAACACATTCGTCTCCTTTATCGTGCAGAAGATGCGATCAGAAGTGGCCATTTCCATTCCAAAAAATGACAGCCCATATTCGACACATACAAGTCCAGGTACTCGCTGCAAAGTCCCATTAACAGGGTCAATGTGCAGGCTGTCTAGGTTTTTAGCATTCTCAGCTCCATCGAATGCCGTGATCATGAAATGCGCAAAAAGGATATGAGAAGAGAGGAGGGATGTTGGGCGCATCAGCCGCAGCTGCATGGCGCGCAGGTTCACCATATCAGTTGGCTCCACGTTATGGTATGGACCGACTGGGCAATACCAATAGAGGAACATGAGAACATGCGTGAGCGAGGTCTACGGGAGTCCAACAAGAATATCGCAGATGATGGAAGGCTTTCTAGGAGTATGTCTCTGATGGCCTCTCACAGACTTCATATGTCGCGCGCTTGGCAGAGAAATGCGGCATGATTTGCTGGATAAGTTGGTTGATGATGGAGAGGAGCATGAAGATGCCAAACATTTGGTTTTGAAGACCTTGGATGATGTTGGGTGAGCTGAAGAGCGGTAAACCGACTAGAAGTACAGGTAAGATGTAGCGGACGGCCTTGGAGTAGAAGTAGGGGGGTGAACACGGATTGCTGGAATACTCAGATTTGAACTTCGCGGAGCTGAGCTCAGAAGGGAGCGGTAGGCTCGCGGTAGCTTGTCTTCTCTTCACACTTTTGACGGGATGCGGTGGGTGACAAGTAAGCTTGCTAGGAGAGCTCGCCCCCTAGCCTAATGCTTTTGGACGCCTGCATGTTCAGGGGAGATACGTCATCTCAAACCAGTCAATATCGGTGTGTGATCCGGAGAAGCACTGATGACGTCCAGCATCCCTTCAGCGCGGAGGACGACCGTTGCGGACAAAGTAATCAATCAAGATTTGTAAATTCTTCCTAACTTCTCCAAAGTAGAAGTCGCCGCCGGCTTGAAGAAGGAGAACTCGATTGAATCTCTGCAAGAGCATGGTAGAAGGGTGGTTCATGCACAATGGACACTCAAGGGTAATAATGATTTACCCGAATGCACGCTACACGATCAGAACTTTACAAAGGCCTGGCCGTTCTGCTTCAGTTTTTCGAAGAGGTCAAGAATAGCCCCGGATGTTTTGAGAATCGGGCCCTGAAGTCGGTTCTGTTCGCCCATCGTTCCCATGGCAAGTGTGGTGTTAAGCTCGTCGTTCGTACACCAAGTGGCCTAAAACTAATCATCGCCAAAAAGCTGCTCATTACCTTCCCCAAAACTCGACATCCTGGCCCCATTCGGCCGCAGCACCACTGAGAAGTCTCTTTTCGGCAAGTATATCACTACAGGCTACTACGTCGGCCTCGTCAAAAACTCTAGCATGCCTGACAACGCCCTCGTCCACAACGCAGCTGCGGACAACATCAAATGTAGGTTCGCACACCTACCTGGAGCGTATATCTTCATACCCACAGGAGTCGCCGGACTACATAGGGTATACTATGCCACGCCCCAGTCCAGCAAGTCCATCCCACTGTCCGACGATGCCGTGAAGGCGGACATCATCAAAGCGATCAAACAGCCCCAGAATAAGAACCCGGCCAAATTTCCCCCAGGCGAGCCGGAATTAGTGACTTTCTCTTCACATGCTCCGTACAGCCTGCAGGGTGAGTATAGAGGATATCAAAGACGGATTCTATGACAAGCTCTATAAGCTGCAGGGCGAAAGGAAGACGCACCGGACCGGAGCTGTGTGGAAGGCGCACGACACTAGCTTGATTTGGAAGTACTCAGAAGAGTTTGTGGTGCCGCAGATTATTGTGGGCTTGTGAGGTTGGGCATGGAACCTGCCAGGATCTGGAGAGGGAGCTTGGTTGTCAATCGGATTCTGAAACTAATCCGCCATGAGGGATTTTGTCGTACGAGTCATTGAATATCCGCAAGATAGTTAATAAATAGTTTCACACGTATGAATATAGACCTTTTCTTCAAACAATTTGCATCTGTACGTGTACGCTGGCAGCAGAGCAAACCAAAATTGTCCAGTTCTCTCATATAACTTGAGCTCAATTGTCACGAAATTGCACCAGTTGCTAAGGGTACAAACACCCAAGCTGCCCTACACATAGCACCGCCATACCTACCCAACCCAGAAGCGTAGCCGAATTTTAGAAGTCGTGAAGATAACTAGTTTCTGTTACTGATGGGCCCGGTTGCATTTATTCACACCGCGACGGACGCGAAGCCAGGTTGGATTTTTGGCTCAACTACTTTAACCAGGAAGCTTTGTGTAATGATAACAACCACAATACTAGTTAACTATCCCGCTTCGGGGTAACTAACTGGTAGGTAGGGGTAGGTAACGTGCCATAGCTGTACAAAACCCGGATAAATAATAGCACCGAGGAAAAGTTATACGCAGTATATATATAACCAAACGGATTAAGTTTACTCCCCCTTGCGAGCTCTTGCGACTGTATGTAAAGATAAAAACAGATAAGCTTAAATTAGCCGTAACCTTAACTTAGGCTCCCCACACTGTGTTGATCGATCGGTTTCCTGCTCCTATGTAGGAATCTCCTGGCCGGGGACCTCAAGGAGATATAACTGGTTAAGTTGACGTACGTATTGATTTCATACCGACTGAGTTAAGTAAGATACATACAAAAACGAGACGAAGCCCTTGTTGGAAAAAAGAAAATGTGACGAGCTCGGAAGAGTAGGAGAGAGACAAGGGCATCCATCACGTCATGGCGAAGTCCATTTGTTTCCTAATATCAATTTAAACCTGACAGGAAAAAAAAAAAAAAAACCAAGGGAGGGCAAAAACTACGACAAATGAAAAAAAAAAAAAAAAAAAAAAAAAAGCAAAGCATAAAGAAACGACAAGACCAGGCCGTGAAAATAAGATATAAATAAAATTCGTTAGCAGATACTTCGCACAGCGAGTAGCTCAAAAAGCCCCAGTAGAAGCAAAGCGTCACGAAGGAACAGGGAACCCGCGGTCGAGAGGAAGAAAGATTAAAGGGAAGAAAAAGAGGGTTACCCATCCGCTAAATCTCGCGGTCCAGCTGTTGATCAAACATAAGAAAGCGAGAGAGGAGAAAAAGGAACGAAATAAAAAAACAGAAGAAAGCGCCATTTTTATAATTTCCCCCATCCTATTCCGTGATATAAGAGTCCTCGATCCAGGGAGTGGACTCGATAAGAGAAATGTTAGAGAAGAAGAAAAAGAAGGAAGTTATTAAATTGAAAAAGAACGCAGGAGTTGATAGAAAGATCAATAAGCATAGACATACAGAAAATAGAAAGGAAAGCAATTACACCCGAAAGAAAAATTCTAAAAGAGACGAGCTGATGGAGAAGTTTAAAAAAAAAAAAAAAAAGATTCGTTCATAATTCAAGACAAAGCCAAACTCATGGCGCAGAACCCTCTCAAAACATATCCCATTCATTTACCCATGATATAAAACAGCAGAAGAGAATATAAAAAGAGATGCAAATAGAAAAAATTGAAATAAAATAAAATGAAAAAAGAAATTAAAAGATTCACAATTTATCGGCCCTCGGCATCCCCGCTACCACTATTCCCACTCCCATTCCTAGCTGGAACATCCGTAACTCCCCTCCCTAGATTCCGCGATAACCCCACAGCCGCCCACCAGTCGTCACCGATATCTTGTCTGCGCGTCAGCTGGTCGATGATGGTTTGGACCTGCTGGAGATCTCCCATGGAGCTACTCTGGCCGAAGGAGACGTTTATGGATGTGGGGGTCGTTGATGATGAGGTGAAGGAAGAGGTTGCGTTTGTGCTTGTGTTTATGTTAGTGGTTGTGTTGTGATCTCCATTGCGGTTCGCAGGTGTTTCTGCGACTACAGCTCGGATGGTTTGTGTGATGCCAAGTAGATTTTCTTGATATCGTCGCCGCAGTTGCTGCTGCTGCTCGCTCCGCCGGATGGCATCGTCGATTGCTGACACTGATGATGATATAGGCATAGGATCGTCGTACTGCATGAGCCGCCAGGTGGGTATGTGCTCATTGTCCGAGTCCGGTTCCGTTTCAGAGTCTTCGGACGAGGAGAAAAAATCGCAGTGGTTGTTGTGATCTGTGAATGACTCGAGGGGAGGAAAGACGCCCGGGCGCCGCGATGGGTTGCTGTTGTTGGCGCCTAGAGAGGAGGGGAGTGTCGATTGCGAGGAGTTGGCTGAGTTGCGGGAGGGGGCAGTGGAGGCAGATGCGGTGGCGGAGGTGAAGGAGGAGTCGAGGCTTGGGAGGTGTTGATCAGGTGTGATGGTGGTAAACAGAGATTCCCACATGTTCGGTTCGTCATCATCATCGTCATCATCATCATCATCATGATCATGATAGTGGCTGTCTTCGTCATCGTGTTGGCTGTCGCCTCCAGGGCTGAGGCTTCGATCGCGATCGCCAAGCCCATCGATGATGTGACGGGGTCGAGTGGCATCGAGGTCACTTGTATCTGCGACGGAGCGATGACCAACTCTTCGCAACAATGGCATGTTTGGATCGTAACTATCTGACGATACCATCGCACGCTCATTGCTACGTGGTGGGTACGCTGGTGCAAATCTGGGGCTGAACGACACAATTTCTCCAAGACGGCTCTCGAGCCGGGAGTTGGCCGTCGCATCACTACTCAATTCCGACCGGCGGGATCGTTCGGTTGAATGAGACCATGAAGGCGGATGTAGCATCTCGAACCTCAAAGAGGACTCTCGGGGAATCCTTATACGACGACCGCCAGGGGATGAGTAGTAGCGCAGGGCAGTCGTTCGGGGTATCTGATCGCCTAAATCGCGCCTAGTTTGAGATGAAGAGTAAGAACTGGACGCAGGCCAATCCAGACGAGTCTCATTATCCTGAGAAGGAGTATAACGCGAGGCTCCTGGTTCGCTGGTGGTCATTGCTGAACCTCTAGCCGTAGCAGTAGAAGAAGTGGCACTGTCTCCCAAGGCTTCGCGACTAAGGCTTTCTACCCATTGGGGCATTGACGGACGCGAAGGTACGTAGCCAGCAGGACGATTCGAAGAAGCGCTTCTTGATCCATTATTATTCCTGTGAGGACGGCGGAGTGTCCGTTGGCGCCTAATAGTTGAGCGGGACGGTGCCAGAGGATCCGCCTTCGCCCTACCATTACTTGCAGCAGCGGAACGAGCAGGCGGTTCCCAGTGGAGACTAAACAAATACAAAGCGCATCAGTATGTCACTATTGAGAAATAAGATATCACGGTTGTATTTCCAGGGGGTTGGGCGACCATAAAGAATTGGACGATTTTGCGCAGCCTGTCGCGACGACTTGGCGGCTCAAGGGACAACACATCACACCCAAAACTGCACGCGAATTTAAGTCACGAGTCAGGCCGCGAAGACCAAAGAAAGACTTACGGGATTCCCATTTTCGCACAGCAACAGAAGGCGAGAGACGCGAAGTAGAAAAAGGATGCTTGCCCGTGCGCGACTCTGATGAAGCAGAACCAGGAGCTGCGGAGGAGTGGTAGTGAGGCTGTTGAGGGGAGAAGAAGCTGAGGCGGAGGTGGTTGGTGATGCGAGGGAAAGGAAATACCCGCGCGTGATTGGCCGGTGGCCATGGCGGCTGGCCGTGCGCGCGTATCGTAGGAGTACGGTATTTAACGATCTGGCGGGTGGAAATAAGGTTGGCAGAGCAATCGGCAGTACTTTTCCCCAGACACAAGATGCCCCGCCAGATTTGGGGAGTATATTACGGCATGTCGTGTATTGAGCTTGTAATAAAAGACCGGAACTGCAAAAATCCGGCCGGGCGCTGGCGGTTATCCGATTAGGCTTAGTTTCGCTGGTCGGTGGAGGATAGGGTCATGTGACTTCCGAATCAGGCAGCGATGCGTGATTGGACAGGAAAGAGTCATCGCGATGCGGATAAAGTCCCCTTGACTACGATTCCTACACCATAGACAGGAAGACATTGGGCTGGAAGGGGAAGCAGCTGTGACAATGGCGTGTTTATTCTAGGCAGATTATATTTGCCCTCCCCCTGCCCTGAAAGGCTGATCCACTCTTGCCAACCCAAACTCCCCCCCCTTCGAAAGAACCGCAGGGGACAGGATGATTGAACTCGGTCTTTCCCGCATTGCTCGGTTGGTCCAATCCTCTCCCCTGCCATGGAAAGCCATCCACATCGCCGGCACTAACGGCAAAGGCTCCATCACGAGCTACCTCTCCGCCCTCCTCGCCGCAGCCGGCGTGCGCTGCGGCTCCTTTTCCTCCCCCCACCTCATTGACCGCTGGGACTGTATAACCATCAACGACCGCGTGGTCCGCGAATCCGTCTTCCGCCAGATAGAAGACAAGGTCAAATTCCGCAACCAGTCGCTGGGCATTGGCGCGACGGAGTTCGAGCTGCTGACTGCTACTGCGTTTGAGATCTTCACGCTCGAAAATGTTGACGTTGGGATCGTCGAGGTGGGCATGGGCGGCCGCCTGGATGCGACAAACGTCTTAAACGACAGCAATGTTCTGGTGTCTATCATTGCGAAGATCGGCTATGACCACCAAGCTATTCTGGGGGATACAATCGAGAAGATCACGCGGGAAAAGGCGGGCATTATGAAACCGGGCGTTCCCTGCGTCGTTGACGGGACAAACGATCCAGCTGTCCGATCCGTCCTTGAGGAAGTCGCGCGGGAAACACAGACACCACTTGCCTTCACCCAGCCAGAAGCCGTCACGCAAGAATTTCCCGAGCTTGGTAAGATATTCGAGCGCCTGAACGTCGAATTACACCAGCAGGCAAATATCGCCTGCGCAGTCACAGCTCTAGGGCAGAAGAACTTTTTACCTCCATCTCTACCATTACCAAGCCTATTCCAACACATCCCCAAGACCCCACGAGCAGGTCGCCTGCATGAAGTCTCACTCAAACCTCTAATTGCCCGCAAGCAACCTGTTCTCCTCGATGGCGCGCATAACCCGCAATCCGCCCACGTCCTCTGTTCATACGTAGACCGCAACCTTCGAAAACAACCATGTACTAGGGGGAATGCTCATGGTAGTAATCATAATGTTACATGGGTAATCGCCGCATCCCAAGGCAAGGACACTCAGGAATTATTCAGCTGCATGCTCAAGCCTGGTGATAACGTTGCTGTTGTTGAGTTTGGGCCTGTGGATGGGATGCCGTGGGTGAGGAGCGTGGAGAGCGCGGAGCTGCTCTCTGTAGTACGCAGTGGCAGAGTGAGCATGCCTAACATAGCACGTTCGGAGGGTTTTGGTGGTAACATAGTGTCTGCGTTGACGTGGGCTGATGAAATCTCGAAATCGAGTGGTTGTGGTAGAAGTGGCGAAAGTGGGCCGATGGTAGTTGCTGGTAGTCTATACCTGGTATCTGATGTTCTGCGGCTTCTTCGAGAGGCGAATAATAACAATATAGATGTGCTGGAAACATCGTAACGCAACCGTGTATGTGAACTCGAAGGTCTAATCCAGCCAAGCGGAGTAGACACGAGTGGGGATCGGGGCGTTTTTGGGATGGTACAACTTTTTTTAAAAATGTACATTTTCAAGGGGAACAAAAGTGACTGGTCTGGATACACAATTTTATAATTTTATTTAGCTATTGTACAGAGTATATGATTCTATGTTATCAGGATTTGGGTAAGGCCATTGTTGTCGTTTTCGTCGAGATGGGGCTCACTTATCGATGGCTTGGCCGGGTATGGCATGGCCCAGAGCAAATGCTGGCTATCAATCAGTAGGGCTGAGGCTGAATACAAGTGACCAGGGTTGGCTGCTTCGGTGTATGCTGTATTTTTAACTTATCGCGTTCTCCATAGCATAGCGTCATCGTTACGCCGAGAAAAGTACGCTTCGGCGGGAAATTAGGGGCAGGGCCATATCAGTCCGAGAAAGGGGAATAATGAGGTTGAACTTGGAAAGCTTGCTCCCAGTATTTAGATTTAGAGCACATACGCCCGTCAATTCGAAAAAAAATAAAAATAAAATAAAAATAAAAATCCCCATGTTCATAAAAACCAATCCAGCTTGCTTAAAATTTCCACACTAACTCAGATCCTCCGTAGATCTTGGACTTGGACCATGTTTACAGCTCGTTAGCTTGTTTCGATTTATTGTTATTATTCATTACGGAGCCAGCCCTGAGTGCTCACCAAACACACCACACCCACTTTCCACTTCTACTTCCACTTCCCAGCTGTATCTTCGCCTCTTCCCAACCACAACAACAACAACATCTATATACATACCTCATCCACCGCATCTGCCACACCAGTTACCACCTCATATCCTCCACATATATCGTTCTGTGGAAGCTTCCCTTGGCCCCCCCCCCCCCCTCTCTTCCCTTGAATCCAAGCTAGTCTGTGGTGCCTTTTGTTAGCCCTGACATGACGATCGACATCCCTCCCTCCTCCCCCCCTTGACCTCCCCCATCTCGAATACCCCTCCCGCGCCCCCTTATCTCCGTATTCTTCCCCCGGAAATAACCCCTACATATTCCCTTCCGCTACATATCCACGATGGTGTCACGAGCAGATGATTATTCGGGAGACACCCCCCGCCCGCCGTCTTCTTCCCCAGCATCCGCACGACTGCAAGAAAATAATCATCACAATAGCACCCCCACCGTCGCAAGGTCTCGAGTTGCTAGACCGGCCACATCTCCGTCGAAGAGGGAATCTACCAGATCGTCAAAGTCCACAGCGAAGGATGTTGCGGAGCTCACGGACTTTGTATGCTTGATGTCCCCTTTTCCTACTTACATCCCTACATATGTATACATATATCTATATACATGCATTCAAGCTAATGGCGCAACCACAGCAATTGGGCGATTGCTTGGGGAAGGGCGCTTTCGGATCCGTATACAGGGCGCTGAATTGGGGCACCGGCGAAACGGTAGCTGTCAAACAGATCAAGCTGGCGGACCTGCCCAAGAGCGAGCTTAGAGTTATTATGGTTAGGAACATTGATATGCTCTCTTCTCTCCATGCCCCAGATGTTTTTATCGCTATTTTCTGACGCTGTTCGACGCCTATGTTTTGAACGAAAAAAATTACAGCAAGAAATCGACTTGCTTAAGAATCTCGATGTAAGGGCCTAGTTTTCTTTTAGCCTTTTCCTTTTTTCTTCTATTTCCTATCTATCGCCGTTTCAAACCATTGCTCGCGCTGGATGGTTCAGGAACCGAAACAGAAATACCGACATTGAGAACACTAATTAACTTTTAACTTTCCGCAGCATCCAAACATTGTCAAGTACCACGGCTTCGTGAAGTCAAACGAGACGCTAAATATTATTCTCGAGTACGTTGATATCAACCGCCCCCATCCCCTTTCCTTTTTTCCAATACTCGGTCCTAGCTGTTGAGGAGTTGTTTTTCCTGACTTGAAGCCTGTTTCTAGGTATTGCGAGAATGGCTCCTTGCATTCGATTTCGAAAAACTTTGGCAGATTTCCCGAGAACCTCGTCGGCCTTTACATGTCCCAAGTGCTCCATGGACTTCTATATCTACATGAACAAGGTGTCATACATAGGGATATCAAAGGGGCAAATATTCTCACCACGAAGCAGGGGCTAGTCAAACTAGCAGATTTCGGCGTTGCCAGTCGTACCACGGGACTCCATGAGTCTAGCGTTGTTGGGACGCCGTATTGGATGGCGCCGGAAGTGATAGAGTTGTCCGGCGCAACGACTGCTTCTGACATATGGAGTCTCGGTTGCACAGTCATAGAGCTGCTTGAGGGGAAACCCCCTTATTACAAATTCCAGCCTATGCAGGCCTTATTTCGTATAGTTAATGATGACCATCCTCCCTTACCCCAGGGAGCATCACCTGTCAGCTTTCCCCCCCGTGTTCAACACTCGTGTGATAATTTACGAAGACTAACCGCCAAGGCAGGCTGTGAGAGATTTTCTCATGCAATGTTTCCAAAAAGACCCGAACCTTCGAGTGACCGCCCGAAAACTTCTGAAACACCCCTGGATAGTCAATGCCAGAAGATCTGATTCCGTCGTCACTACAAAATCCACCGAGTATGAAGAAGCTGTCAAGAGCGTGCAGGAATGGAACGAGGCCCTGCGTTCACCAGACGCCAACTCCGCGCGGAAACCCTTACGACCAGGCTACATGAGCCCAGGACCTGGACCGGGACAGAAGGACTTTGCGCTTCCGCTTGTTATACCATCCAGAGATTTACTTGCAGGATCGGGGTCAGGGCCAGGTAACTCCAGAGATGCCGCCGAACGGTTTCGGTCACCCAACGGCGGCGACGCCGATGATAACTGGGATGATGATTTCGCATCCGCGATATCCCCAAGCGCACTTCGATTGCCGCACTTGAAGCCACATGACAACTTTGGTGGGATGCTATCGCCCGAGAAGCTAAAAGCATTTGCTTCTTTTGAGAGCGTGGCTGAACTCGGAAATATAGGTAGTCATAGTGACCCCGCCGCCGGCGATGACGAGGATAATACGACTGTGAACCGTTCCTTTGATCACAACGACACAGACCCGCTGCAAACCATCCGTCCGTTTGTCATCCCCCAGCCGGTCCCGGACGACGAAAGTGGTAGTGTCGGGAACAGCAGCCCACCCAAACACCCAAGGCGACCACGGCAGCGGAAATTTTCTATCCCTCCTATTAAAACCGGCAGCGCCATAGTCACCCCCAGATCCAATATCGCTACTAAACCGGCCCGACCCGCTGCGTTCTACAAGGAGAGCTCCGTCGAGGATTATTCAGATCTCATCGCCGCGAATGATGCTGTTCTTGAAAAGAAATTGCGTGCTATTCAGGTATGCATCCTACTGTCCCTTTTACGGATATTTATTTTTCGCAATGCTTGTAGTATAGATCAAAAGGTTAACTGCGTCAGGGCGTTGGCAATGACACGAACAAATCTGATGCCATCGGTATAACCGACTCCGCAATGTTAGAACAAAGGACTGCCGGTGACGATGACTTGGGCCATTCCCCGCAACGATCACGCCGCGCACGTAGACGGCCTCCAATTAGCCGCTCTCGTTCATCCATCGAAATAGAGAAGTTCGCGGAAGATGAGGATGACGAAGACTTCTCTGACATCCTCGGCAATGAGGAGGATACGTTTGTCAACGCGGAAAGTGATGACGGTAATGCTTCGGACCGGAGTACACTCATGCTCAATTCGAAACTATCGTGTAATTCTTGGTTAGGGGATGTGGATGATGAGGACGACCCATTTGCCCAGCTTGAGGAGGGATTGGATGAGATGGATCTGGAGGCAAATATCGCTCGTGATAAGTATGCGCGTTTGCGGAATCAGGTGGAAGGCCTTGTTAGTTCGTTGAAGACATCGCAGGAAGATGATGTGCTGGCGGATATATCGGAGCAGTTGGTGAGTTTTCTTTTCACTCTCTTTCTTGTTTCCCCCTGCCCTCTCTATATTATATTGCCTTAACTCCTCCAATATCTGAGAGGATTAACTAATAATATTATTTTTCTACAGATGATTTTATATGCCGATTTGCCAGAGACGAAGAGTGTTATTATCAGCGCCCATGGCATGCTTCCTATCTTAGAAATTCTCGAAAATTGTCGGAGACGGGACGTGATTTCCAATCTTTTAAAGATTGTTAATGCGGTAAGTTATTTTCATTCGTAAACACGATCCTTAGAATCCGTCCTTTTCGAAACTTATTAGAATTCTCTTCTTTCGAATTAGATCATATTCGACGATTACGAAGTCCAAGAAAACCTCTGTTTCGTTGGCGGGATTCCCATAATCAACAAATTCGCATCGAAGAAATACCCGCGAGAAATTCGTCTTGAGGCCGCAGCCTTCGTCCAACAAATGTATCAGACGTCCACGTTGACATTACAAATGTTCGTTAGTGCGGGTGGGTTGAATGTTCTTGTCGAATTTCTCGAGGATGATTATGAAGATGAGCGGGACCTCGTTTTAATAGGGGTTAATGGGATATGGAGTGTTTTTGAATTACAGGTAAAAACTATATTCGCATGGGTTCCTTCGCTCACCCACTCGTGCTGCAATTGCTCCAGCAGCTTTTGGAGCTTTTACCGTTAACATTCTTTTGGCGTAAATGCAGGGATCGACGCCGAAAAATGACTTCTGCCGCATCTTATCGAGAAATTCAGTTTTGGACCCGCTATCCCTAGTTCTAAGTAGAGTTCTGGATGAAGAAGGAGAGCTTGCTGAACTTTGTGAGGGCCGGATTGCCAATATATTTTTCATATTTTCCCAGGCTGAAAGCCATGTCAAGGAAATGGTCGCTGAAAGGACCGTTTTGCATAGTATGTCAAGTCGAACTTCAGAGGTATCCTTTCTTTCGTGCCTAACTAACAAGTACTTTAGGGGTTCTCAAGGAGCTGAAAAGGATGACTCCCGTCCACCAAATAACGATGCTAAAATTTATCAAAAACCTATCCATGCTGTCCACGACCCTGGAATGCCTTCAAAACTCTAATGCAATTGATGTTCTTACAGAGCTACTGAGATCGACCATGAAGGGACCACACTTCCGAGAAGTGTCTAATCAAATTCTGAACACAATCTATAACATGTGCAGGTTAAGCAAACCGCGCCAGGAGGATGCTGCTTTGAATGGCATCATACCGCTCCTGCAGAAAATCGTCAAGACGGAGCGGCCATTGAAGGAATTTGCTCTGCCTATTCTTTGCGATATGGCACATTCTGGGAAAGTCGGTCGTCGAGAGCTGTGGCGCAATAAAGGCCTTTCGTTCTACGTATCGTTACTTTCGGATCCGTATTGGCAGGTTACTGCTCTCGACGCAATATTTACATGGTATTCCTCCCCTTGTTGCTACCTATGCATAGTAAAAAAAATTCCGTTGGCGCTTTTTGGGTTCCAGGTTAACGAAGTACAACTTTAGGCTGCAAGAGGAAACTGCCAAAGTCGAAGAACATCTCCTAGACGATCGAAATGGACCTCCTCCTTTCGTCGAGGCTATTATTCGTTGCCTGACGATATCCAAAGCAAATGCTTTCGAAAACCTTCTCGAACCCCTCCAGAAGTTATTACGGCTTAGTCCACCTATCGCATCGACCTTAGCCCGGCCAGATATGTTCAGCCGCATTGGGCAAAAGCTACACCACACTAAACCCGCCGTGCGGGTGAATCTACTACGTATCCTCTCCACCATCTGTGACTCAACGGATGAACACGGCAGCCTTCTAAGCCGCTACGGCCTCCTCGACGCAATCCGCGAACTACAAAAGGATTCCCGTGTCCTAGTCCGCGAACTAGCAGTCCAGCTAATAAAATCAAGCGAAGAGAGCGATGCAGCGCTTCTTGGTTCTGCTGCGGTCAAACGCCGCACAACCCTAAGACGACAAAGTACCTCGACAACCCCTCCCTCCTTAATGTCTAGTCATTCAATGCCCACCACGCCGCAAGTCGGCCGGTCTAGCGGGTCGAAGTTATTGTATGAGGGTAGGGACACGCCGCGCCGTCGCGAGAATGGGATCAACGGTGTCAGCCTAGGCCTGAGGCCTGGCAGTCGGGATGGGAGGACTGCAGCTGGAGCCGCTACCGCGGGTGTCGGAGCGGCTTCTACCGGTGGTGGTGGTGGCGGTGGGACCGGCGGGGCAGCAAGCGGAGGGGTGAAAGCACGTCTTCCACGCGCCATGACTCAACTTCGGCCATCATCCTCGTCACCTTCGTCTCAGCAGTCGCCGGTATCATCATTGGGGACGTCGCCGCAGTTAAGTGAGGATATGCGGACGCCGACGTCATCGACGAGACCGCCGTCTTCGATTGTTAATGCTCGAAGGCGGAGGACGAATACCGGAGGTTCGGGATGGACGTGAAAAGTACGGGGTCGAACCTTTACTAGATGGCGAGTTGATGGCATTGACTTTTTATTTCTTTGCTTTTTCCTCGCTGTGATTTTCCAATACTTTATCTACCCCCTTGTCCATTTCTTTGAACTCTATTTCAAAGAGAACGGGGTTTCTCTTCATAACGGACGTCAGGGTAGTGTGTATTATTTTTCTCCTTTTTGTTTTTTGATATGTACGTGGTGGCGGGTACTAGAGAGAAAAGGGGATAGGTTTTTTTTTTGTCTCTGTCATACTCTCAAGCTTTCCACTCACGTACTTTGCATTGGCTACACTTACACACAACATATATTATTGCATAGCATAGGCGCACTGCATTGGGCATAGCTATTCGACGATAGTCAAATCATTGAACGTGTTTCCATTTTCATTTCATTTCTTTTTCCAAAATACATTTCCTCTGTTCAGCTTCTTATCCTGTCATATTTTACTTCCCCTCTCCCGCCCCCCGCCGCACCGCTCTGTTTCAAGGGTGGAAAGTACCAGGTTGCGCGTTCGGATCGGATTCTGCTCTCTTGCCTCTTGAAAGAGAAGCAGATTCCAACAATATGAAGACCTTTTCTCTTTCTATTGATTTGCCTCTGATTTCTACAGCTTCATCACCCTCTTAACTAACTTACCCCTGAATAGTAAAGTAGGAGCCCGACTCCGACTTCTTTCTACTCGACCCGTTTGCATATATATATTTGGCAATAATGAGCAAGATATCCTCCCTCTTGGTTTCTTCTTTTTGTTAATTTTATTTGAAATTACATATTATTGTTGACGTTGCAAAAATCCCTAAAAGTTCTTGTTCCCTTTCTGCTCGCTCCGGATGCCAAGAAAGCTGGGGGTTCAATTAAGGTTATGCCACGTGATGTAATCCCTGCAAGGAAAAAAAACTTTCTCCGCCGATCAAAACTGGTGAAGTCAGATAATTCAAGCTCTCACACCTTTACGACAAAGAAAGATTCAAGCCACCAGCCAACAATAAGAGCGGGCTCGAAAATTGAGATGACCCAATTGACAAGGAGGAGGATTCTCGTTTTTTCAATTCATTATTCATTTAGATTTATCATGGTAGTTTGAATTAGGTTTGCTCTCCTCCGCTCTACGGCGTACATCTACGCTCATTAAGCCCCTCGCCATGCGACCCCCAATCCGAATTACAATTCCACTCCCGCCCTCCTGCAGTGGTCCCGTATCATTATCGTTCCCGTTTTCCTCCGTACCATCCAATTCGCTACTCTCAAAATGGATATGTCACCAATGCCTGCAGCAACGGCACGGACGTGTGCCGAGACGACAGATCTCCCGCTTTCTTTCACGTGTATATTCAACGACGATACCACAGTTTCAAAGAATTAATATTAATAGGGGGGATAATAATAACAGTAAAAGGCGGCCTAGAAGAGCGTTGCAATATGCCGCGGCAGGCGGCACGGTTGGGGCGGCGTTATTTGCTTTTTCGGACGATTTGAAGCATGTATATTCGGCGGCGGAAAGGACGGGGAGGGTTACTGCGGCGTTAGTCATTTGTATTAACGAGTAAGTGGGATATCTGCTTTATTCTGGGTTTTCGTGGGTTGGGGTTTTCCGTTTGCATTTTGCTGGGATTTATAATGGATCGTGGTGGAGGGGAGGTGAGAAGCAGGGGTTGTTTCTCGAGCAAATAATGTGAATTAACCTATTTCGCCTTCATATAGCTATCGGAAGACCCTAAACCGACATTCGGACTCCGAAGAAGAAAAAGCGGAGTGGCTGAAAGCCTGCCACAAGCGCTGCGCGGAGCGAACCTTGCGCGTGCTGGAGAAGAATGGATCAATATTCATCAAGCTGGGACAACACCTGAGTAGCATGGGTTACCTTCTACCGCTGGAATGGACCACAACATTTGTCCCGCTACAAGATAAATGCCCCGTCTCTTCGTTCGAGTCAATTGAGGAGATGTTCGTCAAGGATACTGGACACACGATCGACGAGCTTTTCTCAAGTTTTGATAGGGTACCTATCGGGGCTGCTTCTCTGGCGCAGGTCCATGTTGGGGTGCTAAAGGAAACAGGTCAAAAAGTTGCGGTGAAGGTGCAGCATCCTGCGTTGGCCGAATGGGTTCCGCTGGATCTTGCATTAACCCGGTTTACATTTTTGATGCTGAAGAAGTTCTTCCCTGAATATGATCTTGAGTGGTTGTCGAGTGAGATGGAGTTTTCTTTACCGCAGGAGTTGGATTTTAGAATGGAAGGGGAGAATGCGAAGAGAGCCCGCGAATATTTTCGGAAGAAGGCAATTGCTGTTGCACCTTTGGTTATTCCTGAAGGTGAGTAAGGGGTCATGCATTTGAGAGAAATATTTCGTACAGTTTGGTTACTAACTTCACAAATCCAGTGATGTGGGCGCAGAAGCGAATTCTGGTCATGGAATTTATTTCAGGCCGTCGACCTGACGACCTCGAATATTTGGATTCCAACAAAATTGACAGGGACGAGGTTTCCGCCGCCCTGGCGCACATATTCAATGAGATGATTTTCGGAGACGGCGCCCCTCTCCACTGTGACCCTCATGGCGGGAACATCGCGGTCAGGAAGAACGATTCAAGACGGAAGCCCAACTTCGATATCATTCTCTATGACCATGGTCTATATCGTGACATCCCCACGGAACTGCGGCGCAATTACGCAAAGCTATGGCTTGCTGTTATTGATTCAAATGAAGCGGAAATGCGCAAGTATTCGTACAAGGTTGCCGGAGTCACAGATGACCAATTCCCACTTTTCGCCAGCGCAATCACAGGCAGGGATTATACCGTCCTGTCGAAAAAGGCGGTTGTATCCTCCCGCTCTGCGGAGGAGAAGGAAGCGATATCGAGTGCGTTGGGAGACGGATTGCTTCAGGAGCTGGTCCAAATGCTTGGGAAGGTTCCCCGAATCATCCTTTTGATTCTTAAGACCAACGACCTAAGTAAGTCCCTTCTGCTCAATGATACCTCGCAAAATAGCACCTAATTGCTAACCAAGCCCCTTTTTTTTCTTCTCACCAATCCAGCCCGCAGTCTTGACGAAAACCTTCACACCCGCCACGGGCCGCTACGCACGTTCTTAATTCTCGCAAAATATGCAACCTGCACTGTCTTCGAGGAGCAAATGGAAGTCATTCGCCAGCGCGGTAGCATCCTATGGCCGCGAAACTTCGTCCAGTTCGTCCAGGCCTGGGCCAGCTATATTCGAGTCGAGATTAAATTGGAGTTATATGAACATTGGCTCTCGTTTAGGGGCCGGCTAGGCTTGCATAACTGATTGATTCGATAATATCCGTGGTCTCGAATCAACGAAGGTAAAGATTACCTCTCTATCTATACTGGGGCCTGACATTTCTTTCCCTTCTCTTTTCTTACCTAGCCAGTGACCTTTGTTTTCGTCACCCTCCACATTTTTCCATACTTTTTCTGAACCAGCATTAGCGAAAGGCCTCTTTCTTCTTTTGGGCTGATTGTACCAAATTATATGCATTTTCTGTGCAACCTCGTATATTTACCTATTTTTGTTATATCTAGATATATAGACTTCTATATAGACAGGAGGATTTATTGGTTGTTAGCGATTTTGCGTAGGATTTCTACTTAAATTAATGTAAATTACTATATTCAAAGCCAAAAAGTACAGTTCATCTTTCCCTAGAGAAAGATTAGCCTCCACCAAAAGTGATTAAAAACTCCTTTGATCCCCCGAATCTCACGTGACTGGGAAGATCCGCAAAAAGTAGATATCGGGAACAAGGTGTATGTATGTATCCATGAATGTATATTTCGAAAAAATATTAATAGAGGCCAACATTTAGTGAGTCTTTTCTGTCTTTATTATTGTCTTTCAAAAGTCACTTATAACCACTAGTTATTCTGGGGGTCTGCGAAACCTGCAAATCAGTAAGCAGCCAATGACACAACATTCTCGATAACATTCTGATTGATTCGAAAAGCCGGCATATAGGCGGGAGGAGGAGGAGGAGCTCTTCCATGCTTTGTACAGAAGGAAAAGTAGCGTAAATTGAAGACGCCTGATATTTTCGATCCTTACCTAGCGTACACAGACTTAATAGGAAAAACGGGCTTCTGCACAGACAAGCATGACGGCAGACAAGAAACAATCACTGGGCAAGAGGCTATCCGCAAAAAATCCCAGGGTAAGCTTTATCAACATGCCTTAGGCCGCAGGTTTTTTGAAAAGAGGGAGCAGAAAATAAAAGCAACACAATTCATTCTGTCGTTTATTTTTATTTTTCATTTTTCGTCCTTCCCCAAACCCCCTCTCTAAAAGTTCTACGTTACCCATCACTCTCTCTCCCGCAAGATGTATATAAAAAGGATCGCCAAATACCCTCTCATTCTCCCTCTTGCCTACTCTTCCATTTATCTCCATACTTACGTCGTACAACAGTCAATACACGTCCCGATGGCCGCATTCGCCATGGCCCTTGTCCTGGGTGCATACTGCATCACTAGCATACGCGGCGCACGCCGTAACGCAAGATATTCATCCTTAACGCCCTCTATCTCCGGCGGGTCAGAGGGGACGGAGGGGAGCGGTTAATGTTGAATGTTGAATGTTGAATGTTGATGTAGAGATTAAGATGTGGGAGCTGAGTGTTTGAGGAGCTGTGTTTTTCTCGGGGTTCTGCCTTTCTTGTCTTGTGTTGGTTATTTTATTTTTATTTTATTTGTTTTTAGCATATAACTGCAATCCTGTCAGTGGGAGTTGGGAGAGGAAAAGACACTGCTTTGATACTTCTATGTGTACCTAAAGGTTCTGGTGCGTTTAGAATATGTTCCAAGGGCATTGGAGGCGCTGTTTTCAGATTTTTATTTTTATTTCCGAAAAGGGGGTTAACTATGTAATGTCCACGGGTATTGCTGTGGGGCGTGGTTGGCTTCTTACACCAACATGAGAATAGCAAAATACTACGTAATCTGGAGAATTACGATAATCCGGGTTTCATAGATGTGCCTAACCTCGTATGTACATGTACATGGAAATCAATATGAAGCCTGTTTACGACTCGATCCAATCAAATCGCCAATCAAGCACAGTTATGCTCGTTGTCCTCTATCTACAGCGTATCATGATGGTATGACGATGGCGTAGCTCCTGGCCTGGCCCCATCGCCAAAACATAAGGAAAAGCGAACGGACAAGGAAATGAAAAAAAGAACTCTTTCTAAGGGTGTTCAAGACCCAGTAGAAGTAGAAATTTGGCTGGTATTCGCAAGATCGAAATCTGCTGGAGAAATGTTTTACATGGAGAAATGTGTCTGCAAGTATAATTGCAATAATGAATAATATACAGGGTAAAAATAAATAAATTAAAAAATCAAAAGAAATAAATCGCGCTACCACGCAGAAATATAAACCATCACGCTCATGGGGATGGAAGAACTGTACGTTAGCGGTAGATGAAGCAGTAGCAAAAGATCCGAGGACCAAAACTCGAAATCCACCCGACCACCCAAGAAAAGAATATGAGAAAACATACCATGAGAAGGGGCACGAAGTAACACCATGCAACTAAAAGCGAGAGTACTATAAGATAGCAAACAAAATCAACCCCTGACCCAGTAGACGTTGACCACGGAGCGGAGAAAATGGAAGGCAACGCAAATGTGATCGTCGAAATAAATGGAAACGAAGTGAGATGAGTTCCCTTCCCCAACAGAGTTAAACTTCTAGATATTTTGCGCATGTTTTCCCCACGCCCAAATCCGGGATATTTTTGTTAGACAAACAAAAAGGTAACGTGTGTGAGAGAGACGGTGAGGTTGAAACAAAGTGAGAACGCCAGAAAATGCCATAAGATGTTCGTCTGTATATGTTGTGTGTTGTTTCGCGCTCCAATTCGAAATGGATAGTCGCAGCATTAGTCAACTAGTGTGACATAATGCGGGGGTTGCAAAAACAGTGCGACAGAAAGATGTGAGGAAAGGAAGGCGGAAGGGATATGGTAGCTGGTGGGGCTTACTCTGAACCCGAGTACGCAAAAATTAAATAAGAGTACGTATGAATATATACATATGTACCACTGGAGGAGGTAGGAAGGAAAGTGACAGGTGGATAGTAAATTAGTCCAGGATGGCAATGTGGGTCGAGGTAGATGGGTATTGGTACATGTGAAAATGTCGTGGGAGACTCGGAGAAGGAACGAATTGAGAGCACTGGGCGCGTTATCATTTTTCTAATCCGTTTTTTCTCAAAAATTCATTACAAGTACTTTGTGAGCGGCTGTGCGTGGTCTATAAAAGTCGCAATGCCGTTTTTAATGGTCCGGACGGCCGTCTGATGGAAAAAGCAATCTTCAAGTTTTCAATATGGGGATGAGTCATCCTCGCTCATAATTAGGATTTGTTCGCCTTCGTGTTGCATCCAGTGGATAATATTTCGGAGATATTCGTAAGTGAGCATCGTCGTCATAGCCGCCGGCACTGCACGGAACAAATTTGTTCCAATCCCAGCGTAGAATGCCCGCCAGCCCTCCTCCATCAAAATCGTTTGGCATGTGCGAATCACGCCACGATATCGGGGACGGTTGCGCATCCCATCCGAGGATGAGGCCCCAGCACCTGTCCCTGGCGGCCGACCGTGATCCTGTGGCTGCTCAAGCCCGCCTCGAAAAGCGATGCCTTCTGTCGAAAAGGCGGGGGAGGATCTTTGTTGTGTTTGCAGTCGGGTTCTAAGGACTTCGTGTGGGTATGTTGCTGTGCTGGCGCATAGTTTACTGAGAAAAGTGGCTGCAGTTATGCCCGACCAGTGTGGGTTTCCAGCGTCTGGGTGTTCACCGATTCCAAATCCGGTGAAGGCCATTTTGAAATATTCATATAGTGGGAACTGAATGGCGACATGTGAAAGGCCGAGGAGTGCAGGAGTGAGGCCGGAGTAAAAGGCACGGATGCCTTCACTCGCATACATCTTGCGTGCTGCATCCAAGGTATTCTTGTAGTACCATGGGGCTTGGTAGCCGTTGCTGGCGGGTCGAAAGCTCTGTGACATGAGTCTCGTCTTGATAACCCATATTGGGTTTGTTGCTATTGTCGAGCAAGCACCTGCTGTGAGAGATGCATATCCCCGTGCTAACCACCAGTTATCTACAAGTAGGCGTAGTCAGCAAGTTGACCAAAAGTATAGATAGATAGGAGAAGTGAATCAGAACAGACCTGTCTTTTTGGCGAAATATTGCCGGGATCTATCGTAGACCGTTAGATAGACAGCCCAGGTGGGAAGATAGCCCAACAGCATCGGCCCCAGTCCTCTATATAGCCCTCGAATACCTTCGTCTCGCCATATCATCTTCCCCGTCCCGACCATCCCACGATACAGTGTTCCGGATTCGACCAGTTTGCCATTTCGACGCAGTTGAAACCCCCCTTGCGCTTGTAGTTTTGTCTTTATCACATCCAGCGGGCACGTCACGATGCCCGAAGCAACGCCCGCACTAGCTCCGCAGAAAGGTGTAATGTACGCCTGAGGTACCCGTGTGGAATATACCTGGAGGCTCCTCAGGGCAGACGACCCTTGTGGAGGAGTGGCCCCGGCGTGTAATGTAGGCGTTGTCGATTGATTCTCTGCTGAGATCCCTTGCTGCGACGGAGAGCCGCCAAGAGTCTTTGGCGAGCTGGTGCGGCCCAGAGACATAATGAATGTCTATAGACAAGGAAGGGTACGGGATCTCAAATTCTTAACGGTCACCGCCACAGCATGGGACAAAGGGATTACGTCGTTGCGGGACGAGCGCTGCTTCTTGCGAGTTTTGAATCCGGAAATTATCCACCTGGTTATATTTTTGGAGAATTCACTATGTAGTATGTATCTGGTTAATATTGACGTAATTAAATATCTCCAAACCCTCCGGTTTATCAGACCGGTACTGATGGAATCCTTTTTGGCGTGGATATAGCCTGTTCAACCGCAGCACCTGTGGTGTTCGTTACGCTCACACAGCTCCCAACAGGAGCGGCGCAACTTAGCGATCGACCATACCCCTACCACAGATGAGAGGAGAGCACAGGTAGGAGGGAACGGGCCCAGCGGCGGCGACTCAAAGTGATGATAAGAGCGTAAGCTGGAGACAGTCGAAGTGAGCGCAAATAGACAGCAGCAATGGTGTAGAGAGGAGTTGTAAAAGGGAAAAAGCAAGGAAGAGAAGTTGTCAGCGTCTGGATGATGTCCCCTCCCACACCCGTCGTCGCCGCCGTTGATATTCTCGCTCGCTCTCGGAAGCGGCTCCGGTCACGGGACCGCCGCCAGCTGCCCGTTTTCCCACAGCTGCCCGATTACTCAGCCGTGCTGGAACCTCATCTTCCATCACAATCGCATCCAAACAGCAGAACTGTCACTTGCCCACGCCGCCCATTGCGCTACTCAGAAACCGATAATACGCTTGTCGACTGCCCGTCCCTGCTATACATGATGTCCGCTCCTTCTCTCCTCAAACAGATCAACGCCCGGCCATGGCTCAAGCGGATGATGATGCCGCTCGCCAACTGGCACGCCAACGCTTCCGGATACAGACAAATGGGACTGAGGTAAATTATATCTGCACTCCAAGCACATGAGGAGCATGCGCAGGATAGTGGTGAAATGCAGTGTTGGGGATCTGGGGAGTCGAGTTAGGCCGCAGGAAGGCCCGAGAAGCCAATTAATTGATTGATTTCCATGATTTCCATGAATACAAAAGCCGGCTGACGCAGACACAATATATTTCCAGAGCCGATGACCTGATCCCAGAAGAGAACGACACTGTCCAGCTTGCACTCAGAAGACTTCCACCCAAGGAAGCCTACGATCGCGTCTTCCGCATCCGACGCGCATTCCAGGTCCGTTCGCCTGCTATATTTCTCCGTCCTAACAGGCCCCCGCTATCAAAAATTGGCATAGAATACAGAAAGCAAGGATAAGACGGAGAGATTCGATCTTGCTAACATATGTATCACCCAACAACAGCTCTCCATTGAGCATCAGCTCCTCCCCGTCGAAGAACAAACCAAGCCAGAAGAGGTGAGCCCGAGCGCATCCTCCTTCCCTTCCCGTCCCACCTGGGTTTTTATTCTATCCTCCATTGATTTCATTCACCTATATATTTTTCACAACAAACATGGACAAAAACTAATCATTGAATTTGAAAATTATTAGGACGTCGAGTATCTCAGCCCTATCATCCGAGAAATCGAGCGCGAGAATAAGGAACGGGCGGAACTCGATAACCTCATCATCAAGCGATAATATATATATATATATATATATATATATACGCCTAACACGGTGTTGGGTTGTGGGTGGAGGTTGGAGGAGACATTACCTTGGCCGGCGTCAAAAACCAAAAAGAAAAGAAAAAGAATAAGAATTTTTGTGCGGGGAAGATCAGAAATGAGTTACTGAGTGGGGTTATGCAATTTTGACAAAACTCCTCTTCACATGCCTCTATCTACCTCTTTTTTCTATCTTCAAACTCAGAAATGCGCTAGCCGAGTGGTGTTGGCGAACGGTGGAAAGATGCGGTTGCCGTGGTTTGTGTGATTAGGGGTGGAATGTTATATTGGAGAATAACAGCCACTGTTACTATTGTACTGTACAGATCTACTATACTTTCATAGATGGAATGGGGTGCGTTTTCTTTTGCAAGCAACTATTAATAAAAAAAAAAAAATCAAGTGTGATAATGATAGCTGTATTTTAACAATATCTCTTAGGTATCAACATCTATGAGAAGTATATAGACATGTATATATAATGTATAAAATGTCCAGTATATCGCAAAATAGGTATCCGGCGCAGCCCGAATACCAAAAATGTCAGTGCAGCCCAAGAACCAAAAGCAATTGCAATACAAACCATTCCTTTCCTTATCTTACAACCCACCCATCCCCAAGTTCACTGCATGACAGTGACATCCACATCCTCAATGCGCCACATATACCACATGAAAAGACTCCTAATTTAATTTTCACAAAATCAGCAAAAATTAAAAAATTAAAAATAAAAAAAAAAAAAAAAAGAAAAGGAAAACAAGAGGATCAAGTCCCGCAAACCCCGATTTGATGCCTATTGACAGAAAGGGGAGGAGCCCAAAAGGGGAAAAAAGGGTTGCCAGTAGATATATCACTCACCGGTACGGCGAGAATGGTGCAGCAACCTCCACCATCTCCTTCTCAGACATGTACTTGAACTTCCCACCACCTTTCGCTTTAAGCTTGCTAACGTCGCGGCCGACAAACGCAGCCATTCCTCGCCTACGTCACAAGGAGAAAGTGTCAGAAACACGCAACAGAGATGGAATACGGGGACCACTTCCTGTTCCCCGGAGGTGGGGGGAAGAAGGAAGAAAACACTCACTGAACCCCCAAATCCCCCGTCGAAAACACATCCATCCTCTTCAGCCCAAAGCACGAGAACATCTCCACAGACCACTTCCCCAACCCGCGCACTGCAATCAGCTTCTCTAGAACCTCTTCATCGCTCGCCTGCAGCAGCATCCGCGCACTCAGCTCGCCGCTAGCAAACTTCTCCGCCAACCCCTGGATATACTCCGCCTTGCGCTGCGACAGGCCTGCCGTGCGTAACGTTGCGATATCGCATTTGGCGACCTGCGCGGGGGTGGGGAAATCGTCATCTCGATCGTAGCGCATTTCTGCGGTTTCTATTTTCTCTCCTGCATCCATGTTATTATTATTCTTGGTTGCTGCACCGCCATCATTAATGACAGTAGTGGCAATCGTAGCCGTAGCGCTGTTAATAGAATTGCAATCACCACCACCACCATCACTACGAAACAACGCCATGAATTTCTTCTTGATACTCTTTGCCGCCGCCCCAGATACCTGCTGGCCAATAATGCCACTAACTAGCGAATTGAACGGGTCGATCTCCTCGGCCAGGCCTGCGGGGGAGAACAGCGGGCACGGATGCTTCTCGATGACGGGGCGTAATTGCGGAGCTACCTTTATTAGATGGGCGACGGCTTCTTCCAACAGTGTTCCTGTCGTGGTGGTGGGGCGCGGTAGGCCTGTTTTGGAAGGGGAGGCATCCTCTGGGTTCGCGGGGTAGGCGGTTAGATGGCTGCCGCGCGGGGTGAGGAGGGTTGCGGTGGTGAAATGCGGGTCGATGGGGCGGTCGAGGGCTGGGTTGGCTTTGTTGTTTGGATATGTCCGTGTCCGTTTCGGGGTCGATGGGGGTGGTATGTCGGGTGTATTGAAGGTGGGATTCGTATCTGTCGGTGGTAAGGGGGTGTCTTTTTCTGCTGCTGCTGCGGCGGCGGCGGCGGCTGCAGCAGCTTTTGATACAGATACTTTCTTGCCCGTCCCACCAGTTCGCTTTGAGATTGTCTTTGTAGTTTTCTTCGCAGTGATGTCGGCCTTCGGGGTCCGCTTTGCCTTTGTTGAAGCTTGGTTTTGTATACTAGTACTATTATTCTCCAGCGCAGCCTCCTGCGTTATTGCGCTAACTCGAGCTGAGCGTCTCGGGGCCATGACGATGGGAGGAGGCTTTAAAAGTAAAAGACGGCGTGCGGTTTTGGTCCCAAAAATTAAGCTCATGTAGATCAACTTAGTATACAAGAAATGGGTTTATTTGCAGTTTGAACGATACCAAGCCCATGCTAGTTTGGTATATCGATATTGGGCTGGGGATAGAGAGATACGTAGGGGGGTGCCGCTTTCACCTGGGCAGTCTGTGTTTTATAAAACATCCCAACTGCTAAGTTCTTGAATCCTGTCTTCCCCGCGCGCAGAGGATTCATCAATCCGCTTGCCCCTGGCACAGTAATGAGTCAGGTACTCAGCTAACAAGCTGCTGAATACGAGGTTGTTGGTGGTTGGTTCGAGTCTATCCGCGCGGCTAAACTTAAAAAAAAGAATTGAATTGTCTTGGCCGTTATCAACCAGTCCAAGCTATTTCCAGAAAAGTTCTTCTCGCTGGCTGCAGCCCTTCTCCACACATATCATACGAATGCTCATTGATAGAACTTGTTTCAATTTACATATAAAAAGAAGGACACCTTCTTTCCCTCCCCCCTCCATACATTCGTCACTAAACTAATCCGCTCTAAGCTTGGAGGAGTAGCATTCATAGATGCCTTTCCGAATTGACTTTGTAGATGTACGCGAGCTGAAATCTTCCGAGTTGCCCACTCCAGGGAAATGTAAAAGGGTCAGCTATATATATCACTGGCAAGGGAGAAAATAAAATAAAATCCAGAAGCAGAGGGGAAACAAATATATCTACGGAGTATACTAAACCAAAGAGAGAGCAAGGGAACTCCTCAAGTTTTGCGTGCCACCAGCAAACAGCTTAACCCTTTGCTTTCTTTTTATACTACGTAATAATATGTAACAGCGAATATCACATCAGCCACTGCATTCACGTCACCCCTGCGTTCTGCAGCCACGATCAACCGAACCATATCATGCATGCATGCTTTCATGGATGAGTGGCGCGGTGGCCGTCCTAATTTGTATTTCCGAATGGTTGGATTAGTTATGTATTTACTTTTTGCTATTTTTACAGAAAACGGGGGACGCCTTTCAGAGTATCTTTTTGCTCGTAGCCGAGTAGAGAAAGCGGCCTTCAATAAGTACAAATAGATAATAACACTGTCCATATCTATCAGGTTTCATTTGCTGTGAGGGAGAATGCTCTGTTTTCCCCTAGAATATTTACCATTATTAGTTGTGGCTATTTGATAACTTTTGTAAACCGATCACCTCCTTAATGACCGGAGTATTTCTTTCAAAAAGAAAAAGGAAAGTTACCTGACTAGTGTAAAGTAAGGATGTGTCAGTTGACAGTAGTTGAAAGACTTAACAGGTTTCTAAAGCAGATATCGATGATGCGGGGATCTATTTACATACCTTGCGGACAACTGCTCGCTGCAGAGTATGTAGATACGAGATTCGAACGCGTCTTGATAAGACGGATAGTGTAGACAAGCGCGCTGATAGTTATTGTTTGACAATTCCACTCAGCTTTCAGTAGTTCCTTTCAATAATAAATACCGAGGTGAGTAGTGTCCAAGTCAAGGTAAAGTTGAACGTTGGTTGCCAACTCCGGCCCGAAAAACAGCTCAGTGTGGTTCCAACTCAATCTCAACTTGGACCCATTCCCATGGCAGTACAGTACCCCCATTGAAATACATGCACTAGATGTATTCAGCGACCAGCACATCACTTAGTAATATGTGTGTAATATGTGTGATGTGTGTAGTGTAGTGTGTGTCTATTTTAGAGGGAGTCAATGTGTTCCTGTATTTCACTTCAACTCCCCCGATTCATGCCCCTGTCTCTTGTCTTGTCTCCTCTCCTGCTGTTGTCTCAGAACCTTAGTGGGAGTGGGCATAGGTGCCTTGGTTGAAACGATAGTGTGCATATTATTTCTTATTTTTTCTGTAGTAAAAACTACATCACGCTAATTCGCCACAGAAAAAAAAAAAAAAAAAAAAAAGAACTTGGAATCACTAGTTGAATGCTCATGGCTCTGAGCTTGTGATTGAGAGGAAAACTTATTTTGTTGTTCTTTTGTTTCTCTCTGTGTGGTCTTGCAGTTTTACTGACAGTTGCAACAAGTACTTCTGTTATACTACTATTAATATGGTGACTGTATTATTATTATTATTATTATTATTATTATTATTGCAAGTGTTCATTGTTTGATTGACCCGCGGTGTATCAATCGTCTTGGTCCTGCCGAGGGGAATTGTAACAAAGCTAATCATGGGTTGAATAATACATATACAGTACCTACCTATACATGTACAGTCCATGTTGCATGCTCGGAGTAGGGCCAGCACAGCACAGATAATTAATTACCAGGGAATGAATGGTACGGTACCGGGACGGGCTTGGCGCGGTTCCATTTTTTCCTTTCCAAGATTTCCCTGCTTGTTTCTTGTTGTCTGGCTGTCTGGCTGGCTGTCTGGCTGCCCCTAATAATATAAGAAGTTGTAACTAATGGACTGACAAGAATCAGTTCTCCACTCGTTAATAATAATAGTTAGTTGTTAGTTAGTTACCGCTTCCACCACGCTCTCTTTGCCTCTTCCTTCTTCCTTCACTTTTCCTTCTCTTCACTCCCTTCTTTGGTTCTTTTTTCTTCTTTACATCTCTTCTTCTTCTTCTCTACCTTCGTTCTCCTCCAGTTCCTTCCTGCTGTGTTGCTTCTCCCTCATTGAAGCAGCTTTCTTTCTCTCTCTCTCTCTCTCTCTGTGTTGGTTGCTCCTTCCCCGTGTCCCC